AACAGAAACATTCATCTATAAAATAATAATTGAACAGAAACATTCATGTATAAAATAATAATTGAACAGAAACATTCATGTATAAAATAATAATTTAACAGAAACATTCATGTATAAAATAATAATTTAACAGAAACATTCATCTATAAAATAATAATTGAACAGAAACATTCATCTATGAAATAATAATTAAACAGAAACATTCATCTATAAAATAATAATTGAACAGAAACATTCAAATATAAAATATTAATTTAACAGAAACATTCAAATATAAAATAATAATTTAACAGAAACATTCATGTATAAAATAATAATTGAACATTGTTTATCTGAGGAGCAGCTTTGAGTTTAACTCCATCACAGAACTCTCATCTTGAACAAGCATGAAGGCGACAGTGGAAAGAAAAACTCCCTCATGAGGAAGAAACCTTTAGCAGAACCAGGATCAGGACAAGAGGACCATCTGCTTCCACCGGCTGGGTTTGGTAGGAATAGATACACAATGGCAGGTCAAGAATCACATGTTAAGATAGAAATAGTATCAAAAGAAAACTATTCAATTTTAACAATTCATTTAAGGACATGAGGTCAATTTGTCCTCTAGTAGTCTAAGTCTATAGCAGCATAACAAGCCAACCCTAACTATAGGATTTATCAAAAAGGAAAGTCTTAATCCCAGTCTTCAAACTGGACAATGTGTCAGCCTCATGGACAGAAACTGGAAGTTGGTTCCACAAGAGAGGAGCCTGAGAACTGAAAGATCTTCCTCCTATTCTGCTTTTGGAAACTGTAGGAACCACGAGTAAACCTGCAGTCTGAGAGTGAAGTATAAATATAAGTATGGATGCTAGATGGAGCTAGGTTGTCTAATTTCAGGAATTAGATAAACAGAGACACAAGTTAAAGGCTGCACTCTCTCTCTCTCTCTCTCTCTGTGGTGAGTTCTGATCAACTGATCAGATTCATCAACAACAAACAGCTGATGGGAAATATTAATAATGGTGCAGAGCATCAGATTTATGGTTAGTTTAAAACAAGTTAACCACATTTAATAATCCATTAATTAATTATTAATTTATTAATAATCCATTAATGACACAAAGGAGACACACCTGCATCATGCTGAGTTCTACTCCATCTCTTTTCTCCGTCTGTTCTGTGTCCACTTCTTTATTTCTTCTTTATCACCCATCATATCAATGTGGGGGCGTGGCCTAACTCTGGGGAAGAGACTCACCTGCTTCCTGACTCATGATCTGAGTTCCACACCTGGAAAAACAAGATCTTTCAGTTCTTTATCTAACTGAGTTTATCCAGCGCTGCCACTCCTTTAGCAGTTCACTCATCTTCAAGTCTGTTTCAGCAGGATTGGCTCAGGATTGATTCAGGAATGATTCATTGATTCAGGACTGATTCATTGATTCAGGATTGATTCAATGATTCAGGAATGATTCATTGATTCAAGACTGATTCATTGATTCAGGACAGATTAATTAATTCAGGATTGATTCGTTAATTCAGAATTGATTCATTGTTTCAGGATTGATTCATTAATTCAGAATTGATTCATTGATTCAGAATTGATTCATTGATTCAGGACTGATTCATTTATTCAGGATTGATTCATTGTTTCAGGATTGATCCATTAATTCAGAATTGATTAATTGATTCAGGACTGATTCATTTAATCAGGACTGATTCATTTATTCAGGATTGATTCATTAATTCAGAATTGATTCATTGATTCAGGATTGATTCATTGAATCATAATTGATTAATTGATTCAGGATTGATTCATTAATTCAGAATTGATTCATTGATTCAGGACTGATTCATTTATTCATGACTGATTCATTAATTCAAGATGATTCATTGATTCAGGACTGACATTTATTCAGGACTGATTCATTAATTCAGAATTGATTAATTGATTCAGGACTGATTCATTGATTCAGAACTGATTCATTGATTCACGACTGATTCATTAATGCAGGATTGATTTATTGATTCATGACTGATTCATTGATTCAGGACTCATTCGTTGATTCAGGACTGATTCTTTAATTCAGAATTGATTCATTGATTCAGGACTCATTCTTGATTCACG